GGTCAATTTCACATAATTTAGTGACATTGAAATTGTATCGAAGTTCAATGTTACGTTGTGTTTTTCACATTATTGTTACCCCTATATCAGTTTTGGCTTGTGGAAGAGCAAGCAACTGATACAAGACTGGAGCATTATCACAGCTGTTATCAGATACAAGTGCTAAAATGTTGACAGGTTAGAAATTAAAATTCCTGGCACACCACAAAGCTTTCTTTTATAAGCATTAGAATTACCTTTCTATTTCAAAAAAGAAAAATGACTTTGACCTCATTCTAACACTTATTACCAAGAATATCTCAGAAAGAAGATTAGTCAAAATATGCTTTGCCTCCATTAGTATTCCCTGCGTCATGTTATAACTAATGATTTCTGTTACTAGTAGTCATTACTGAACAGGTTTTATTTGAAAACTTTGTGACTTTAGGCATTCTTTCACTTTACTTTCTTTGAAGAAAAGAAAACTTTATAATCCAATAATATCTTTCAGTCAGTTAGCAAAATAAGTTGGTTACCCACTTTCTGAATAATACTGTGGTTAGACATATTTGGGAGCATCCAAAGGAAGAAAGTGGCATTTTCTTCTTCTTCCTGAAGTTTATAAGATAGTTGGAAGGCAGGCCATAGTCAAGTGAAAAAAGACTTGTAGATTCCTACGGGGAATTCAGAGAATTTCTCTGCAGCACGTTTAGTCTCTTGTTAAACAGATTCTTGACAAATAATAAAAATCCATAGCTTTTTAAAGAATAAAACTATTATATTAAATGACACTAATAAAGAATGGTCCTAATTTAGATTTTTCTTTTTTTTTTTCATTCTCTTTTTTCATTGCATTTTAGGTTTTGGGGTACATGTGAAGGACATGAAGATTGTTGCATAAATACACACGTGGCAGTGGTGATTTGCTGCCTTCCTCCCCTTCACCTATATCTGGCATTTCTCCCCATGCTATCTCTCCCCAACTCCCCACCCCCCACTGTCCCTCCCCTATTTTTCCCCAACAGACCTCAGTGTCCCTGTGTCCATGTGTTTTCATTGTTCAACACCCGTCTATGAGTGAGAACATGCGGTCTTTGATTTTCTGTTCTTGTGTCAGTTTGCTGAGAATGATGGTCTCCAGGTTCATCCATGTCTCTACAAAGGACACGAACTCATCATTTTTGATGGATGCATAATATTCCATGGTGTATATGTGCTACATTTTCTCTGTTCAGTCTATCATCAATGGTTGGTTCCAGGTCTTTGCTATTATTGTAAGCTGTGCTGCAATGAACATTTGTGTGCATGTGTCCTTATAGTAGAATGATTTATAATCCTCTGGATATATACCCATAATGGGATTGCTGGGTCAAATGAAATTTCTATGTCTAGATCCTTAAGGAATTGCCACACTGTCTTCCACAATGGTTGAGCTAATCTGTACTCCCACCAACAGTGTAAAAGTGTTCCTATTTCTCCACATCCTCGCCAGCATCTGTTGTCTCCAGATTTTTTAAGGATCGCCATTCTAACTGGCATGAGATGGTATCTCAATGTAGTTTTGATTTGCATTTCTCTAATGACCAGTGATGATGAGCATTTTTTTATATGTTTGTTGGCCTCATGTATGTCTTCTTTCGTAAAGTGTCTGTTCATATCCTTCGCCCAATTTTGAATGGGCTTGTTTGAGTTCTTTGTAAATTCTGGATATCAGCCCTTTGTCAGATGGGTAAACTGCAAAATTTTTTCCTGTTCTGTTGGTTGCCAATTCATGCTAATGACTGTTTCTTTTTCTGTGCAGAAGCTGTGAAGTTTAATTAGGTCCCATTTGTTTATTTTGGCTTTTGTTGCCAATGCTTTTGGTGTTTTGGTCATGAAGTCCTTGCCTACTCCTATGTCCTGAATGGTTTTGCCTAGATTTTCTTCTAGGGTTTTTATGGTGTTAGGTCTTATGTTTCAGTCTTAATCCATTTGGAGTTAATTTTAGTGTAAGGTGTCAGGAAGGGGTCCAGTTTCTCCTTTCTGCACATGGCTAGCCAGTTTTCCCAACACCATTTATTAAACAGGAAATCCTTTCCCCATTGCTTGTTTTTGTCAGGTTTGTTAAAGATTGGATGGTTGTAGATATGTTGTGTTGCCTCTGAGGCCTCTGTTCTGTTCCATTGGTCTATATCTCTGTTTTGGTACCAGTATAATGCTGTTTTGATTACTGTAGCCTTGTAGTATAGTTTGAACTCAAGTAGTGTGATGCCTCCTGCTTTGTTCTTTTTGCTTAGAATTGACTTGGCTATGCAGGCTCTCTTTGGTTCCATATGAAGTTTAAGGTGGTTTTTTCCAGTTCTGTGAAGAAGATCATTGGTAGCTTGATGGCGATAGCATTGAATCTGTAATTACTTTGGGCAGTATGGCCATTTTCATGATATTGATTCTTCCTAACCATGCACATAGACTGTTTCTCCATCTGTTTGTGTCCTCTCTGATTTCGTTGAGCAGTGGTTTGTAGTTCTCCTTGAAGAGGTCCTTTACGTTCCTTGTTAGTTGTATTTCTAGGTATTTTATTCTCTTTGTAGCAATTGTGAATGGCAGTTCATTCTTGATTTGGCTCTCTTTAAGTCTGTTATTGGTGTATAGGAATGCTTGTAATTTTTGCACATTGATTTTGTATCTTGAGACTTTGCTGAAGTTGCTTATCAGTTTCAGGACATTTTGGGCTGAGATGATGGGGTCTCCTAGACACACAATCATGTCATCTGCAAATAGAGACAATTTGGCTTCCTCCTTTCCTATTTGAATGCCTTTTATTTCTTTTTCTTGCCTGATTGCTCTGGCTAGAACTTCTAGTACTATATTGAATAGGAGTGGTGAGAGAGGGCATCCTTGTCTAGCACCTGATTTCAAAGGGAGTACTTCCAGTTTTTGTCCATTGAGTATGATATTGGCTGTTGGTTTGTCATAAATAGTTTTTATTATTTTGAGATGCATTACTTTAATACATAGTTTATTGAGGGTTTTTAGCATAAAGGGCTGTTGAATTTTTTCAAAGGTCTTTTCTGCATCAATTGAGATGATCATTTGGTTTTTGTCTTTGGTTCTGTTTATGTGGTGAATTACGTTTATAGACCTGCATATGTTGAACCAGGCTTGCATCCCCGGAATGAATCCTACTTGTTCATGGTGGATAAGCTTCTTGATGTGCTGTTGCAATCGGGTTGCCAGTATTTTATTGAAAATTTTTGCATCTATGTTTATCATGGATATTGGCCTGAAGTTTTCCTTTCTTGTTGAGTCCCTGCCGGGTTTTTTTATCAGGATGATGTTGGTCTCATAAAATGATTTGGGAAGGATTCCCTCTTTTTGGATTATGTGGAATAGTTTCTGAAGGAAGGTATGAGCTCCTCTTTATATGTCTGGTAGAATTCGGCTGTGAACCCATCTAGACCTGGGCTTTTTTTGGGTGGTAGGCTCTTAATTGCTGCCTCAACTTCAGACCTTGGTGGGTCTATTCAAGGTTTTGACTTCTTCCTGGTTTAGGCTTGGGAGGAGACAAGTGTCTAGGAATTCATCCATTTCTTCCAGGTTTACTAGTTTATGTGCATAGAGTTATTTGCAGTAATCTCTGATGATGATTTGAATTTCTGTGAAATCTGTGATGACATCCCCTTTATCATTTTTTATTGCATCTATTTGGTTATTCTCTTTTCTTTATTATTAATCTGGCTAGTGGTCTGTCTATTTTGTTGATCTTTTCAAAAAACCAGCTCCTGGATTTACTGATTTTTTGAAGGGTTTTTTTTTGTGTCTCTATCTCCTTCAGTTCTGCTCTGATCTGAGTTATTTCTTGTCTTCTACTAGGTTTTGAGTTTTTTTATCTTGCTCCTCTAGGTATTTCAATTTTGATGATAGGGTGTCAATTTTAGATCTCTCCTTGCTTCTCATGTGGGCACTTACTGCTATATATTTTCCTCTAGAGGCTGCTTTAAATGTCTCCCAGAGATTCTGGTATGTTGTCTTTGTTCTCGTTGGTTTCAAAGAACATCTTTATTTCTGCCTTCATTTCATTGTTTATCCAGTCAACATTCAAGAGCCAGTTGTTCATTTTCCATGAAGCTGTACGGTTCTGAGTCAGTTTCTGAATTCTGAGTTCTAACTTGATTGCACTGTGGTCTGAGAGACTTTTATGATTTCCGTTCTTTTGCATTTGCTGAGGAGTGATTTACTTCCAATGATGTGGTCAATTTTAGAGTAGGTGTGATGTGCTGAGAAGAATGTATATTCTATGGATTTGGGGTGGAGAGTTCCATAAGTGTCTATTAGGTTTCTTTGTTCCAGTTCTGAGTTCAAGTCCTGGATATCCTTGTTAATTTTCTGTCTGGATGATCTGTCTAATATTGACAACGAGGTGTTAAAGTCTCCCACGATTATTGTGTGGGAGTCTAAGTCTCTTTGTAAGTCATTAAGAACTTGCCTTATGTATCTGGGTGCTCCTGTATTGAGTGGGTATATATTTAGGATCATTCGCTCTTCTTGTTGCAGTGATCCTTTTACCATTATGTAATGTCCTTCTTTGTCTCTTTTGAGATTTTTCTTAAAATACATATCCCACTAGGTTTTTGTCCAGTCTCCACAATTTGTGACCCAATTTTAAGAGAATGGATTTTGATAAAGACTCTAGCTGAAATTGCAGATTGAGGAAACTGAAAGAAAACTGGCTTTAGAATCACAACTGGATTTGAGGATTTGCTGTAGTACTTATTAGCCATGTGATGGTGGACAGTTTATTGTGCATTCTGCATTTTTTTGTCATTCTCTGAAAAAAATGTATATAGTAATACAGAACTTCTAAGGACTGTAATAGGCTTACAGGTGATACTTCAAAACATGACGCAATACAAATGTTAAATAATGGCTCTTATTATTCATATACTAAAATATAGGGACACACTGGAATGTTGATTAATATTTTTAAATAGCTGTATATTTAGAATTATTGAGGTTATTATCTTAAGTGGTTTTGTACTTACAGCTTTTGCTTCTTGCTCTGTCCTTCTCACCTTTTCAATAGTGGGTCGTTTTGCTTCTAGTTATGGTTCCAGCCCTATTGTGGACAGTGAAGTATCTTCTATCCTTCAGGAGAATATTAGAAAGTTTAATCAACCATCAAGTAAAACTTCCTGCTTTCTCCAGTTCTCATAACTTTGTGCTTGTCTTGCTCCCTACATTTTAAAGACAACTTTGCCAAGTTATGAACAGTAAGATCTGTGGAGGTGATACAGTTCATATAGGTTAGCCTCCTGATACATACAGAAGCATGTAGAAGAGTTGAGAATAGACCTGGAGAGACAAATGGAGAATAATCAGAATGATTCTGCTTCCTCCCTCCAAATTTCTCAATAACAAAGAATGATGGATCTGATGTATAATGTAGATGTGGTGTATCTATTAAGGCTTTTTCAAATATTTTTTTTATTTGCAGAAGGATATTCTGATGTGACATGCAGATACATTTTATAGTTTTTCTAAACTTGTTATTATTTATTTCCCAAACTTACCATACCCTTGTGCAGAAAGAAGAAAATGACACAGTATTTTTTATTTCTGGTGAGTTGAATAAGTAAATCAAAACAATCAAACACACTAGGAGGCCTGGAGTGGATAGGATAGAACTCTTTTTGTCTCTCTCTCTCTCTGATCAATTTATCAATGAGTTTAGATGGCAAGATGATACATATTTCAGACATTTTTAAGATACATTAACCTAAAGAGAGAGCTAAGTTTCTATTGACAAAACTGTTATTAAAAAATCTCAGCATAGTGAAAGTAATCAAATGAAAATTTAATGATACACACGCAGAGAGAGCAAGAGAGAAAGATGGAAAGAGCGTGCCAGAGAGAGGTTTAAGAAATATATTGAATACATTGCAGAAAGAAAGGGTAGTCAGAGGACTCTGTAGCTAACCATGGTTTAAATATATTATTCTATATTTTCTTCCAGATATCTTAGAGTTTTAAATTTTATATGTATGCCTAAGATCAAATTTGTACTAGTTGTGAGGTATATCTTGAAATTAACTCTTCCACATACATGTGTGTCAGCACAATTTGTTAAAAGGAACAAACTTTCCCTTTGAATTTCCTTTGCACTGTTTTTAATACATCATCTAACCTCACATGTGGGTCTTCCTGCACTCTCAGTTCTGTTTCACTGATGTGTGTTCATAGCCCTTTTCCAATAGCATACTGTATGACCATTGCACTTTCATCTTTTCTGGATATTACGTAGTGTGAGGCTTTCAACTTTATATTTATTTTTCAATATTGTTTTTGGTACACCAGTTTGTTAGTCTTTCCATATAATTATTGAACTGGCTTGTTTATTTTTATAAAAAAAGTTCTTCTAGGACTTTGTAATTTACTAAATGTTTAGATCACTTGGGGAGAATTGAAAGCAGAAAAATATTGAGCTTTAATCCACAAATATAGCACATTTCTTTATTTATTTAAGTATTTTAAAATTCTATTTAATCAGCCCTTTGCTATTTTTCAGCATATAGTACTTGCACATGTTTTGGAAGATGTGTACCTAAGTACAAATATTCCCTGACTGAACATTTCAACTTAAGATTTTTTTTTATTTTAGAATGATGTGAAAGCAATACACATTTGGTAGAAACTTTGGGCCAAATACCCATACATTTTATTTTATTTTTTTAAATTTTCAGTACAACATTCAATAAATTACATAAGATTCTCAACACTTCATTATAAAATAGAATCTTTGTTAGGTGATTTTGCCCAACTTTATGCTAATGTATATGTTCTAACCATGTTTAAAATAGGTTAGGGTAAGGTACAGTGTTTGGTAGGTTAGTGCACTACATGTATTTTCTTTTTTTCCCAAGTCTGTTAAGCTTATTCATAACATATTAATTAATAGCACATTAATTCTGTCTGCACAAATGCAATAAACCTGATAGGTATTTGATTTATTTTTTAAGTTTTTATTTTTGTTTATTTATTTTTTTGAAATGGAATCTCTCTGTGTAGCCCACGTTGGAATGCAGTGGCTTGATCTTGGCTCACTGCAACCTCTACCTCCCAGGTTCAAGCAAGTCTCCTGCCTTATCCTCCCAAATAGCTGGCATTACAGGTGCCCATCACCACCCCTGGCTAATTTCATATTTTTAAATACAGACGGGGTTTTGCCATGTTGGCCAGGCTGGTTTTAAACTGCTGACATCAGGTGATCTTCCTGCCTCAGCCTCCCAAAGTGTTGGGATTGAAATTTTTTAATTTTATAATTTCAAACTTTATTTTAGATTTACAGGGTACATGGTCAGTTTGTTACCTAGGTATATTGTGTGATACTGACATTGAAGATACACATGGTTCAATTACCAAGGTAGTGAGCAAGTACCCAATATATGTTTTCAACACCTGCCCCCCTTCCTCCATCCTCTCTCTAGTAATCCAATGTCTATTGCCATCTTTGTGGCCATGAGAACCCATTGTTTAGCTGCTATTTATTTTTTGATTTTATTTTTTTTTATTGTAGTTTGGGCTCTGATGTACACGTGCACATTCAGCATCCTGCAGGATTGTCGCATAAGTACCTACATGCCATGGTGGTTTGCTGTCTCCATCCTTCTGTCCCCTGCCCCATGTCACCTACATCAGGCATTTCTCCTGGTGTTATCCCTCCCCATCCTCCTCACCCCACTGCTGTCCCTCCCCTCCATCCCCCACATAGCCCAGTGATTGTTGTTGTCTTCCCTGTGCCCAGGTGTTCTCATTGTTCATCACTGACCTATGAGTAAAAACATGCAGTATTTAGTTTTCTGTTCTTGTGTCAGTTTGCTGAGAATGATGGTTTCTAGATTCATCCATGTCTCTACAAAGGACACAAACTCATCTTTTTAATGGCTGCATCGTATTCTGTGATGTATATGTGCCACATTTTCTTTGTCCAGTCCATCACTGATGGACATTTGTGTTGGTTCCAAGTCTTTGCTATTGTAAACAACACTGCAACAAACATATGTGTGCATATGTCTTTATAATAGAGTGATTTATAATCCCTTGGGTATATACACAATAATGAGATTGCTGGGTCAAATGGAATTTCTATTTCTAGATCCTTGAGGAATCGCCACATGGTCTTCCACAATGGTGGAACTAATTTACACTCCCACCAATGGTGTAAAAGTCTTCCTATTTCTCCACATCGTCTCCACCATCTGTTGTCTCCAGAATTTTTAATGATCACCATTGTAACTGGCGTGAGATGGTACCTCAATGTGGTTTTGATTTGCATTTCTCTAATGACCAATGTTTCAGTTTTTTGTAGATTCTGGATATTAGCCCGTTGTCAGATGGGCAGATTGCAAAAATTTTTTACCATACTGTTGGTTGCTGGTTCACTCTAATGATTGTTTCTTTTGCTGTACAGAAGCTCTGGAGTTTAATTAGGTCCCATTTGCCTATTTTAGCTTTTGTTGCTAATGCTTTCGGTGTTTTAGTCACGAAGTCCTTGCCTATGCCTATGACCTAAATGGTTTTGCATAGGTTTTCTTCTAGGTTTTTATGGTGTCAGGTCTTATGTTTAAGTCTTTAATCCATCTGGAGTTAATTTTAGTGTAAGGTGTCAGGAAGGGGTCCAGTTTCTGCTTTCTGCACATGGCTAGTGAGTTTTCCCAACACCATTTATTACACAGGGAATCATTTCCCCATTGTTTGTTTTTGTCAGGCTTGTCAAAGGTCAGTTGGCTGTAGATGTGTGGCATTGTTTCCGAGACCTCTGTTCTGTTCTATTGTTCTATATCTCTATTTTGGTATCAGTACCATGATGTTTTGATTATTGTAACATTGTAGTATAGTTTGAAGTCTGGGAGCCTGATGTTGCCAGCTTTGTTCTCTTTGCTTAGGATTGTCTTGGCTATGCAGACTCTCTTTTGGTTCCACATGAAGGTTAAAGTGTTTTTTTTTTTTCCAGTTCTGTGAAGAAGGCCAATAGTAGCTTGATGGGGATAGCATTGAATCTATAAATTACATTGGTCAGTATGGCCATTTTCACAATATTAATTCTTCCTAACCATGAGCATGGAATGTTTTTCCATCTGTTTGTGTCCTCTCGTTTCCTTGATCAGTGGTTTGTAGTTCTCTTTGATGAGATATTTTACTTCCTTTGTTAGTTGTATTAGGTATTTTATTCTCTTTGTAGCAATTGTAAATGGGAGTTCACTCATGATTTGGCTGTGTTTGTCTATTGTTGGTGTATAGAAATGCTTGTGATTTCTGCACATTGATTTTGTATTCTGAGACTTTGCTGATGTTGCTTATCAGCCTAAGGAGGTTTTGGGCTGAGATGATGGGGTCTTCTAAATATACGATCATGTCACCTGCAAATAGGGACAATTTGAATTCTTCTTTTCCTAATTAAATGCCCTTTATTTCTTTTTCTTGCCTAATTGCTCTGGCTAGAACTTCCAATAATATATAGAATAGGAGTGGTGAGAGAGGGCATCCTTGTCTAGTGCCAGTTTTTAAAGGGAATGCTTCTAGTCTTTGCCCATTCAGTATGATATTGGCTGTGGGTTTCTCATAAATAGCTTTTATTCCATTGATACATAATTTATTGAGAGTTTTTGGCATAAAAGGCTGTTGAAATTTGTTGAAGACCTTCTCTGCATCTATTGAGATAATTTTGTGGGTTTTGTATTTGGTTCTGTTTATGTGATGAATCACGTTTATAGATTTGAATATGTTGAACCAACCTTGCATCCCCAGGATGAAGCCTACTTGATCGTGATGGATAAGCTTTTTGATGTGCTGTTGGATTTGGTTTACCAGTATTTTATTGATTATTTTCGCATCAATGTTTATCACTGATGTTGTCCTGTAGTTTTCTTTTTTAGTTGTGTCTCTGCCAGATTTTGGTATCAGGATGATGTTGATCTCATAGAAAGTGTTAGGGAGGACTCCCTGTTTTTGTCTTGTTTGGAATAGTTTCTACAGGAATGGTACCAGCTCCTCTTTGTACATCTGATAGAATTCGGCTGTGAACCCATCTGGACCTGGATTCTTTTGGTTGGCAGGCTATTAATTGCTGCCTCGACTCCCTTGTTATT